AATAAACACAGACCTAGAACTAGCAGCTTTGCCAGTTCTAGTGAGCAGACAACAAAGAAACAGAAAATTCTGCAGAAAAACCTGAAGCCAAGGCAAGACTGCAGGGCTAGAACATCTCACTGAAGGAAGAGTCTATATGGATTAAGGAAACAGTACCAGAATTGATTTCTTATCTTTTTTCAGTGTTATTTAAGTTTATCTATGGGGCAGGAAATGAGGAGTAGGTACAACTAGGAACAATAAATTGACCATACTTGACCAAATGTAGGAAAAGAAGGTCAGGAGTAATTTTTATTGACAAAATTCTGACAAACAGATGGCCATATCGTGTGTCTGCCTGAAAGTTATCTAAACTTTCATGGTCCCTATGGATGAAATAGTAATTTCAGACACATTCTGGGAACTGTTATGCCCATTTCAATTTTCATCTCAACTTTTTCTAGTATTTCCTACTTTTTATGCTGTAACAAATCTAACTTTACTTGTTAGGTAAGTAATCTTCTGCAAACAATTAAAATGCAAATCCTTCATTGATTCTTAAAATTCTACAATATATAGTTTATTAACTCTTGACAAGCTTTGTCATTTCCTAGATGTCCACTTGGACAATGCAAATGGACTTTGAATAGGACTACTCCACTTGCCTAGCATCTGAATCTGAGTCTATCTTAGCTTTTCTCAGAGACATGAATGTTGTTGAGACAATCTGAAAGTTCAAGTCCCTGAAAGAGAGTGGAGACACTGAAAAGGGGGAGGGTACATGAGTAAAACAAGGGTGCCTATAGATAAGTTCAATTTCAATATATAATTTAGCACTAAAATCTTAATTTAGTTCCTGCCTTTAGTAACTCACTCATATCTTTTAAATCAAGAAATCCATATTCCACCATGATAGAATAAAAAGCCTATTTTTTTTTTTTCTCTCGAAGGCCATGTATAAGTTTTAGTTTGTATTTAGGAGGAAATTTATTAAGAAATCTTACTTATTATTAGCAAAACGAAGTGTCTCAAGGAAAAAAATTCCAGATCCCACCCATTGAAAAACTAGCTATAAAAGTACTATTTGACTTAAAAAAAAAAAACATAACATTTTAACGTTTTTATGTACATATGATTTTCTTGTTAATAAGGTTAAATGGCAATAATTACCTAGGAAATACTAAGGTATCCCATTTGCCATGTAAACATTTGAAGCAAATGTGTTTCAGATTGAATACTGTCCTATTATGACATCAAACTTAGTTTAACAAATGATTAACTTAATCAGTTTCCTCAGGTGTAAATTGAGGCGTTTGGAGTCTCAATTTGAAAAGTCAATACATTTATTTATCTTGAAGACATTTCATAAGAGTTTTTTGTGAAATTTGTTGTCATTTAAAATAAGATAAACTTTGTTTAATGGTACTTAACAGAAAGGTTTTTGAAAGCTTTTTTAGTTTAAGTATACCCTAGATGAACAATAACTATTAGAATCTACATGCACTATAATGCCGAAGAGAAGTGTAATTTTCATGTTTTACCACTATATACATATATTTCAAAGAAGAATTAATAACAGTTGTTATAATATTTAAGATTGTGCGACCAGAATTTGACCTAGGTTTTCCACTTTGTAGAATTTAGCCTGTGGTTATATCAACATACATATGCAAAGTTGTTTAATGCACTGTGTGTTATAGTCAAAAATTGGAAACAAATTAAATATCTGTTAAAAATTGAATGTTTAAATAAAGATATCATACAGGATGCTTAATGTAAGGAAACCTTCACAACATATCACTATGTGAGAAGTGCAAGATGAAAAATCATATCTACATTGCAGTCTTATTTAAATAAATGAAATGTTGTAAAAAGAATTTACATATACAAATATATGCCTATATGCTGGAGTCTACATTCAATATTTTTTTGAAAAGTTATGCACTTAACAGTGCTTCCCCAAATTGACACAGGTTGCTTTTTGGAAAAAGAGAATGGGACTGGATGGTTTCTCCAAAGTTTAAGTGTTTAATTAAATGTTGTTCCTTACTTATGTTTTAAGGGTGGTGCAATCTTTGTAACAGAGCCAGAGAAAAAGAGAAAAAGAAAATTCAATTATAGTTTATTAATACAAAATTAGTTTATTAATACAAAACTGTCAAATAAAATTTTATTTAACCCCAACTGAAACTGTGATAAAAATAATATTTCATTTTAAGTAGAAATTTTTCTAGGAAGAAACGATAATTGAACATGACAAAAACTAACAATATAATCAATCACATTAATGTTCTAAAAGAAAAGAATAAATTGATTATTTTAGTAGATGCAAAAATGCTAATTGATAAAGATTAGCCCCTATGTGTATTAAAAAAATAAAAACCTTATAAATGAAAGTACTAGAAGGGAACAGAATTCTTTGTGGAAAGCAACAGGTTATGTATTTATAATAGACTACTATGCTGAAGCCAAACACAAAGAACCAAAATTTATATAGAGTAAAATAGACAAGCATGAAAGAGACTTATTCCTTATGACTTTTTATATGAAAATGACTCACACACATACATGACTTGAAAATAGTATGAATGCCCAGCATATATTAAGTGTTTTAACAAATATTTGTTCTCCTTCCTGCCACCTCGCAACCCCCAGTAATTTCACACTTGATGCATGTCCTTTTGGAAGAGATTCTTAATAAAGACTGTAAATATTTCTGTCAATTGTTATTCCCTTGATACTCACTGAATTTTTAGAAAATTTTCCATTTTTCAGTCTGAGCTCTAAATTATAGAACTCGTGATGATGCTATTTCTGATGGCTAATAGGGCCAATCGAAAATATGGGAAAAGGCAGAAATATTATACATGAAGAATTGCACATTAACTTATTCAATATGTATAACCTTATAAGTAATATTCGATGAAACTATTAGTTCTGTCATAAGAAAGGCTGATAAACGTTGGTATAACTTCATTTTATCTTGCAGTCGTAGCAAATATATTATCATCTATATATTTTCATAATTAACGATGGTACTGTTATTTTCTTCCATAATTGGAACATTTATTGAGAGATTACCCACTCTTTGACTGATGTGCTTCATCCTCTATCCTTTTGCCTGCTGTGTCCCACAGTTATGATGCTCAAAATTTATACTTTATATTTTTCTTGCAGCTGTTTTACATTCCTACTTACTGTTTATTCATAGGATAAGGGTAAGAGAGATCTATGTCAGAGTGATCTTTTACATCTATTGTTAGTACTGGTGCTCTGAGAATAACCACCTATTTTTTTTTATACCACTGATGAATTCCAACAAGATATGTGTAATCCTGCCTAACATCACAAGTGGGTCTCCTTTATTGAAGTATTGACTGCATGGTGACAGTTAAAGGAATGTTTCATCAGAAGGCAATTCAAGGTTTATGAGGCTGGGATTATGTGCAAGTTCTATGCCGCCCTGTTTATTAATCAATCAGAATATTTCATTCAATTGTTTGCACTCTGTCGGGAATTGTGGATTTAGATTATGCATGGTAGAACAGACCTAGATTCTCTCTCACTTTTAATCACTGCCATGACTAAGTGAAAATGAATATTTGACTAGGCAAGACTGTTGCTCTTCTAGCTGTTGCATGGTATCTAGTGTGACTTAGGAAATGGAGGTGTTATGCAGAGTTGTCATGAGTTTATTTTCCCTTTCAATGTTGCTCAGCTGAAGAAGTGCTGTGGGAATAATGATCATTTAAAAAATCTTCAAAATAAACTACAGGTATTTAATTTAAAAGCACACTGTCTGTTTCAAGAGTTAGTATGTCCTTCTGACAAGAAATGCCTTTAAACCATAGTGTTGTTAGTAACTTATAGGTTTTAAAATAATTTTCCATTAAAGCCTGACTGGAAAAAAAGTTGTTGAATCTTTGCTTGGAACGTCAGGTCTTTTCACAATGTTTTACTCTGAACAGACAGTTTATTACCATTCCCACCTGAGGGCAGGCAGGAAGATTAAAACTGGGTTTAACTCATACCATCTCCCTTTGCTTCATCAGATCTGAAGAGAGGCTTGCCAGGGTTCACTTTTCAATATAAAATGGCACTTCTGGACTCTGAACCAATCTTAGTTTTCTTTTTTATTTTTCCCTTGTTTCATTGCTTAGTTGGTAGGTTGATTGGTTTTCTTTTTCTCTGTTCACTGCTTACATTTTTACATGTCTTAATTGTAAAATTGTAAGCAAGATGAATGCAAGAGAATTTGAAATTACTTAAGTTCCATGCTGTTATAATGGTGAAGCTTATTTTTATTTTTGTTTCTATTGGAATGGAAATTTAATTCTATTAAATTTTACTTCATTAAATTTCCATTTGAATTTTGTTTAGAGCCCTTTTTTTACCTGGTTTCTATAGCTAACTGAGTATGACAAAAAGTCATGTTTGATTTATACGCCAATACTATTAGGGTTAAAAGGACCCTAGATATTAGTCGAAGTCCTGCAATTTACCAATGAGGAATCAGACCCCGAGAGAAGGGAAATGTCTTACCTAGGGTACTACAGCCGCTTAGTGGCAGATCTACATCAAGAATCTGGGTCACTTGACTTACTGTGTAGTTTTTCCTTCAGTATCAATCCCTATTTTTCTATTACCTTGTATAATGACATTTGAGCAGATCCTAAAAACAAACACTTGCTGTGGATCTCATGAATGTTCTGGTTGATGAGGTCAAGTGTTTGACAGTGACTATGACAACATAACTTGTCCTGTGACTGCACAGATGACATCCTATGAATAATACTTGATTTGATGCCTCCACAAATTCATCCATGGAAGGACTGTAGTGTCTATGGATCCACAGTTTCCATAGCTTTCTTTTGAAATATACCTGAAAATGTCATTCTCGCTGTTAAAGACAAATGCCAGATATGGTAACACGGTTATAATTGCTAATTATAGTGTCTCTATGGTTCTTTTATTTTCCCTCATCAGTGTGTTCATCTATATATCCTGTTTTGCTATTCTAGGTTTGTGTGCTGGAGAGGCAAATATTTGACTTCCTAGGATATCAGTGGGCACCTATCCTGGCAAATTTTGTACATATTATTATCGTCATTCTTGGTTTATTTGGAACTATTCAATACAGACCTCGTTACATAAAAGGAGTAAGTACCTTTCCTGCCTTTTAAAAATGTTATTGAAATAGAGGAAGAAATGAAAATGGCAAGTGTCTTGAAAATTAAATGTATACCCTTTCTTTTAAAGTACCATGTGTTGGTTTTCATAGTTTCAGATTACATCTACAGTTTAAAGCACTTGACAGTGAATGCAATCAGATTGTATTTTCATAAATTGTACTTTCAGCAAATATTCTCTGTAATTAAAAGCAGAACTATGCCCCCTGTATTTCCAAATTATGAAGTCATAGCCTCCAATTTAATAGATTTAGTGGGAATTTTTCCCATTTTTAATAATCATATTTTAAAATTAAATATAATTTAAAATTAATGCAAACGAACTTACAGTTTCAGTGTGAAAACATTAATACATATTAGAGTTAGTATTTGACATGCTTGAAAGTCATAAGAGCCTGGACCATAGTCTCTATGTTTTTCATGATTTTCTGTTTGGCTCAGAGGAAGTATTTTGCATTCCCACTCAAGTTGAACTTACTTAACATTAAAGTAAAATCCAACTGTGTTGCAGTTGCTATGGGAACCATAACTTAGGATTTTTTACTTTTTGTATGTGCCTCAGATCTCAGCTATAGCGCTTCATTAATGTAGATTTTTTTCAGTTTCATCATTTTTTTCTATTTCTTCTATTTTTGACAAAGAAAAAGTCTATAGGCATTTATTTCAAATTGTAAGGCAAGTTCGGGGTAAAGGCATATACAGAAGATAGTACAAGTAAAGCTCTGCCTTATTCAGCGTAAACCAGCAGGTTGTCTTGGGTTTCAGGAAGGCTTCCCTCACATAAAAGATGCTTTCCAATGACCTATTCTCTTTGTCATCTGGAACCCAGGTAAAGCTCATTGGTTTAGAAACAGGGAATATGATGGCAGTGGGGACCAAGGATCCACTGTCTGGCTAAGGATGAGTGAAAAACACATAGTTTTCTCCTCTAAGTACATACCCAGAAATGAGTGCATGTCATCTCTAAAGGTATTTAACCATGTAAATCTTTTACAAAGCAGGATGTGTTTTGTTGCAGAGTGAAGTTTTTCAATTTACAAAATATGATAGTGTGGTTCATTTTCCTTTTCTTTCTTTGTTTCACATTGTTTTATTGTTTTGTATATATGTATTTTTTTAATTTTATTGTTAGTTTCATGTATACAGTACATTGGTTAGACTTTTATATAGTTTATGAAATGATCCCCCTGATTACTCTATCTTCCCTCTGGCTCTCCACAGAGCCATTACCTTACTGCTGACTGCATTCCCTATGCCATGCTCCCCATCCCCATGACCATCTATCAACTATTAATATTTACTTTTTTCAAATTCTTCACTGCTTTCTCATTTTCTTATACAAATTGTAATTTGCTCCATTATAGGCAAGATAGTATAGGGTTGGGGAGCAGGTCTTCTGAAGCCATATGCCAGGGTTGAAATCTTGCATCTGCCAGATTCTGTGACTTTAGACAGCATAACCTCACTGATACTTAGTTTTCCTACCTTTAAGTGAAAGCATAATTATACTAACTCATATGCTTTAATTAATTGATGCTTTATAAGCCATTATATGATTCTTAATTTAACTTTCCTTTCATTAGATTTGAAGCTTTCCCATGACTTTATTCTTATAAATAATGCTGCTCTGATCGTCATACAAATATGTCATCTCTATCTCTAATGAAGTTCAGATACAAATCTAGAAGTGGATCAAAATGTTTAAACAGTTTAAAAACTCAGAAGTTTGTTTTGAGGAATAAATGAGATATTCTATAAAATATCCTTAGCACAATGTTTGGTGTTTAGGAAGTGCGCAATAAATGTTAGCTATATCATTTTTCTCCTTCTTGTTGTTGTTGTTATTTGAAAATAGTACTAAACCATATAAACTAGCAATAGGCTGATAGGCAATTTAAAATATAGTAAGGCGTTCCAAGTTACTGGATGAACTATTTATGTTCTTTTTATTCCAAGCTGCTACAAGTCTTTAAAAAATTTTGCTTGATTTCTGTGTATCAAATTATAATCCCATCCCTTTAGATAAAATACATACTCACAAATCTTTTCAAGACGGGCTGCTTTCTCTAGCTTGAGGTAAGAGATTGCCATGTGATACTTTTCAGATTGTTAGAACTTATATGTATCTAAAAAAGTATCTGAAGTCTTTATGAGGTTTTAACACTGTGTCATAGAGCTACATCTTTGATTTGATCATTATTCACAGATAGCACTCTGAATTTTTCTTTTCCTTGAGATGGTGTTTTACTTAGAAAATACTTTGGCAGCTGGAGTTACTGTAAATGTGAAACTTTTATTTTCCAAATCAGCAAAACCCAAGTTAGAAATAAATCATCTAATTATGCTTGAAAAATGAATTGTTCCTTCTTGTTTATTACTTTGTTAATTTTATTGGGGTGACATTGGTTAATAAAAATATATAGGTTTCAAGTGTACAATTCCATAATACATCATCAGTATATTGCAATTCGTGTTTGCCACCCAAAGTCAAATCTTCTTCCCACACGATATATTTCATCCCCTTTACCCTTTTCAACCTCTCCCTACCCCTTTTTTCCCTTTGGCAACTACCATACTGATTACTGTGTGTACGAGCTTTTGTTTATTTGTCTTTTTGTTTATTTGTTGCTTTCAGTTTTATATCCCACATATGAGTGAAATCATATGGTTCTTGACTGTTTCTTCTGACTTTTTCACTCAGTGTGATATTCTCAAGATTCATCCGTGTAGTTGCAAAAGCAGTTTTTCATCTTTTCTTATGGCTGAGTAGTATGTCATTGTATGTATCTGTCACATCTTCTTTATCCAATCATCTGTCAAAGGACACTTTGATTGTTTCCATGTCTTGGCCACTATGAATATTGCTGCAATGAACATAGGGTACATATACCATTATGAATAAATGTTTCAAATTTTTCAAGTGGATACCCAGAAGAGGGATTTCTGGGTCATATGGTAACTCCATTCTTAATTTTTTGAGGAACCTCCATACTGTTTTCCATAATGGCTGTACCAATTTACATTCCCGCCAACAATGTGTGAGAGTTTCTTTTTCTCTACAACCTCTCTAACACTTGTTTTTACTTGTCTTATAGATAATAGCCATTCTGACAGGTATCATGTGGTATCTTATTATGTTTTGGTTTGCATTTCCCTAGTAACTAGTGAAATCGAGCACATCTTTCATATATCTGTGGGCTGTGTGTATGTCTTTTTGGGAGAGAAGTGTCTGTTCAGATCCTCTGCCCATTTTTTAAATTGGATTGTTTGTTTTTTGAGCTCACTTTTTTCTTAAAATATTGCTTTATATGTAGCGAAAGGTAACAACTAACACTGTCAGTTGTTTGCTTGGAAATCCCCTTAGCCGGATCCATAAACTTTAGGTATATTTTCAGTCTTCCCAGTTATTGCAGGCTATTGCAGGCTAATTATTTTGATAATAATTATCGTGACTCCTTTTTTTCTCCTGCCATCAAAATCAACATCCTTACTGTTCCTCCTTTCTCCGCTGGTACTCTCTTGCTGCCCTTTTGTCCTCCACCTGTCATCTTGTCTCAAAACTAACGCTGTGTGTTATGGGTTTATTTTAAAATATCACTAAAGGTTTAGTACCAATTTCTGTTCTAGTTATCTATTTTGGCATAATTTCTGAATAACAAACCATTTTTGTATGATCAAATTCATGGAATCTAGTGGTTGTGATGCTGTGTTGAAGGTCAAAAGTGGTTTTAGGAAAATAGATAATTTGCCATAAAAATGTAATTAAGGTTTTCCAGTTTACTGAAAGATGACAAAAAAAAAAAAAATTACAATTAAAAGAAATTTGAATGGTATCATAGATGACATAAATTCTGGTTAATGAAGTATCTGAGTTTGATAGAAAAATGCACAATTGGGGACAAGATATAACTAAAATAATATATTGCTGGCATTAAGAAATATCCACAGGCTCTCTGAGCACTAGGGACTTAATATTAACAGTAAAAATTATTTTCCTCTCCCCTAAAAATGTAGGCCTTTATGATTTCTATATTTGCCATTTATATTTTTGCATTATAAAATAATTCAGAATAAAACTAGAGATAAGCAAACACTTTGATAATTTCATAATGAAAATTATTATTAATGTTTTCCCCATTTCCTTCACTATATGCAAATGAAACATGTCTGACTGTTATATCTTCAAATATTCTTAAATTCTTTATTTAATGCTGTATCAAACAATTTTGAAATTCATATGATTATTACATTGCTCATTTAACCTTTTACACATTGTTACATATTATGCTATATAACAATATATAATGTATATTACGGTATGTTATATATTACACATTACGCTATTTCCATGTATTTATAATAAATAATTCCCTATAATCTTCATAAAATATCCTCATCTTTATTTGTGAATTAATTTCTTAGGAGGAATTTTCTAGGTATAATTAAATAATATGGCCAATTTCAAGGCTCTAACTACATAATTACCTATCCCAAATTATTCTACTGAATTATCCTCTCACCCATGTACAGCAGAGTCTATTTCATTGCAATTTTGCTAACCCTAAATATTATCTATTCTCATTTTTGTTAACCTTATTGGAGAAAAAAATGTCATTTTTTAGTTGCATTTCTTATTTTTACTGAGTTGGACTTTTCCATATGTTAACCATTTTTATTTCCTTTTGGAGGGATTGTCTTTTGGTTTTTATTGTTTATTTTCCCCCTGGAGTCTTAGCGTTTAGCATAACAATTTTTATATGTGTATTACATAGTAAAGATATTTACTGTTTAAATATTATAAAATTTCATTCTGATATTTATTATTTTTCTCTTATAAAAATTAACTCTCTGTGGTATCTTCTCTTGCTTTAAAAATTATAAAATTTAAATGTCATTTGAAAAGTATAATGTTAAGTCTTTGTTATCTGTAAGTCTACTTTTATTAAAACAAAAAGACAGATGCCCTGAAA